GTATGAAATCTGCCTTCAGACTGAGTCAAATGTGTGTTGTTGTTACCAGAAACAACCACAGAAAAAAACAGAAGCAAGAGAATCTAAAATGGTCATTCTTCAGAGAGCAGCACACAGTGCCAGTTTGGTTTTGTGGTACCACTCTCAGAACAGGGTGGAGTTCAGAAACAAAACCATCCATTTGGCTGAGGCCAAGTGTGTTTCAGATCCACCTTCTTTGCAGGAAAGGTCCCACTATTCTGCTCCTCTGCATCTGTGACAAATAGCACTTCATGTCACAGGGAAGTCTGCAGATTCCAGTGAAGTTCCTGCCAGAAGAAAGTCTCTCTCCACTCAGGGGAATGTGCTCAAATCTGACTAATTTTCCTGTCATGCCACTAGCATCTACTGCAGCTCTTGATCTTTCTGTAATGGAACCCATTAGTGACTTTAGTTTTCACTTCCTCTCGTCCACATTTTGTCTTTTATGTAGTAGGCACAAAAATAAAGTGATGCCAGCCAGGAACAAAGCATTTCCCCAGACATATATTTAAAAGAAAATTATTTCCTTCTATATTTCAGACAACTATTACATAGAGCACATTTCCTATCCAGCCAAATTTCACAAGAATTCTGGTTAACAATGTATATTTATTCTACTTTCTTGTCTTTTTTGAATGATAAATACTCATTCCTCCTCTTTGAGGCATACTCATTAATCTGTTTGTCAACAAATTAAATGTATTATCTTGCCAGTGCTATTGTTTCCCACTGCCTAAGTGCTCTGGTGCCTCCCCATGCACTCTGAACATGGGGATGCTGAATGTTCATTATACATGGAATACAGAGAGTCTGTATTCCAAACAGGACGTAAAACTGAACCCAGAAAAGATCTGTGATGTGGCAGCTGTCACTGTCCACTGCTGTGAGTTTTCAGAAGGTGCCCAAGAATGGTTTGGAGGGAAGGGTACTTTTTTTAGACCGCCCAGAATGCTGAAAGGACAGGGTTTGCCATTGGTCCAGCACAGGCAGTTTGGGCCTCTGTCATGCTCTGCTCTGGTAGGACCCCACCTGCAATGCTGTGTCCAGCTGTGGGGCCTGCAGCACAGAAAAGACATGGACCTGTTGGAGCAGGACCAGAGGAGGGACACAAAAATGGTGCAAAGAGCACCTCTCCTGGAAAGAGATGCTGGGAGATCTGGGGTTGGTGTGTCAGAGAAAAGGCGGCTTCAGGGTGACCTCATTGCAGCCTTTCAGTACTTACAGGGACTTATAAGAAAGCTGGGGACAGACATTTTAAGAGGGCCTGTTGCAACAGGACAAGAGGTGATGGTTTTAAACTAAGAGAGGGTAGATTTGGACTGGATGTAAGGAACAAATTTTTTACAACGAGGGTGGTGAAACACTGGTTCAGGTTGCCCAGAGAGTTGGTTAACTAGGGATGGATTCCATCTCTGTCCACATTCAAGGTCAGATTGGATGGGGCCTGATCTAGTTGAAGATGTCCATGCTCATTGCAGAGGAGCTTGGAATAGATGAACTTTAAAGATCCTTTCCAATCCAAACTGTTTTATGATTCTATGCTGAGGAGAGACTTAAACATGTATTTCCCCTTTGGATGTGTGCTTTGCCTGCTAGAGTGGGCAAAATAACTCTCATGGCTACTGCCGAGTCCATGGTGGCTGGAAATGCAGTCTGGAGAGAGACTGGCCGTGGCTGGGGTCCTGGGTCAGAGTCAGCTTCAAGCTTCTCTGTGGGTTCCCACATGTGCCAAGGCAGAACTCAGGACATGTACCAGAGTGTGAGAGTCAAACAGCGAGGCACTGTGCGAGTTCAGGCGCTGCCAGAGCCAGCTGCTGTGGGAGCAGGATGCAGGGAAGTTAATTTGGGACTTCACTGAAATTCCACCTAGTCCTGGTTCAGCTTCATGCCTTTCTGGATCTATTCCCTGTGCACTCGTCACAGCCAGGTCAATTTGATGAACTACTCAGCAATTCAGCCTGCACTAACTTGAGAAGCTAAGTGCTTTTGCCATTGTTCAGGAGGCAGTCCTGGAATGAGCACTGCTTCATCATCTCAGATTAAGGCTTTGGTGAACGGAGTTTTTCTTGGAGAATTCACTGATTCTCTATTCCACACTGGGTGCTGAGGTAGAAAATCTTGTTTACAGCAGGCTTTTCTTGGTTATCAACTTTAACCTCAAGAAAGACCCAACAGTTCTGGAGTCAGATACAGTAAGAGAAGACTTGGGATGCAAATTGAAGTCATGTTTTAATTAAGATAAAAATTAAATTGTGAAAATATATGTGTACAAGAAAATTGGAAAGTCAGCTTTCATATTACTGGTTAGAAACTCTTTGCCCTTTGGCTGTGTTTTCCTAGCACAGAAGTGGACTCAGTAACTGTGCCACTGCAGCTGCATGCAGTAAGAAAATTAAATGCAGTTCTCAAAAGCTGCTTTGCCTTTCTGTCTTCATTATGAAAAAAAAAAAAGGAAAGGGAAAAAGGCTTTAGGGAAGTAGGGGAAGCTCAGCAGTTTTCTTGGGAACATCAAAATGATCATTACTTCAATATCCTCATACATTTTATTCTTTACCTGCCTTGGCTGGTTTGCTATTCACACAATTATTTTCACTATAGAAAAGAAGTGCTTCTAGCTGTGGGCCATGTGTTCTGTTTTTCTGAGTGTTCCTGGCATTGTCCCCTGGCCTATCATTATTACTAACTTCATGTTCCATTAATTTTACTCATCTTCCTACTAGCCAAGAAACCTTCAGCACCCACGGAAGAATCAGAAGATGCCAGCCTGCCAGCATCTGAAGACAGTCCACTAGCCTTACTTGTATCTGAATCCACAGATTCCCTCCAGAAACCACCAGAAAGAAACCCAGCACAGCTTCCCAGCCCTCCATTGCTCCCAGCTCCACCACCTAAGGCAATCTCCAAAATCACAAAGGGGGTAACAGGTCAGTAAAGACTTTCCCATCCTTTATGTGCTGTTTGCCTACACAGCACAGTATATATTTTCTTTCTTACATCCCTTTTTAAGGCTATTGCCACAGACTGCTGTGAATCAGGCCAGTTATGCTGGGAGAGCAGAGTGCTGATGATTTCCAGGGACTGAGTTGTTCGGCTGCCTGATAACAATGCACTGATCTTTGTACCTCACATATTTACCTGAACATCTCAAATGATTATTTATGGCAAGTCTATTGCACTAAACACAAATAAACCAAATCAAAACGACTGCAAACGTCTGCTGAATCAAATGCTCATATTGATATACCATAAAACACATGGAGGATTTAAATGTTTTCAACACCTGGTCTCCTGCTGGATAACAGTACAACAGCCAAAATCAAGTTCAAGTCAATAGGTTCAGAAAAGGTTTCTGTCTGAGGGTTTTACTCTCTAGGGTAGGTCTAAATTAGAGCTATGAAATCTGGTCTAGTTACACAGAACACACAGAAGTGATACACCTGGCTCCCAGAAAGCAATCCTGTGTGCCAGACTTCACTCAATGTTTCAAGAGCAATTCCTCTGGGCCTGATTTCCTAATGTATTGCCAATGTTGTTACATTTTCCAACATTCTGGCATTGCAGAAAGGGTGTTAAAGTGAATATGATCTTAGTTTGTTCCAATTTTAGGGCCCCTACATATGGTAGAAGCAGTTAAAAGGGCCTCATTGCAAATTAGAATCAAGTCCTAGCATATAAATGTCAGCCCTGTTGGATAGTTAGACTTTTAAATCTCAGCCCTGATTTACATCCACACTGGCACAATGAATAGGGTTTTCAAAGTCACCAGGAAACAGAATGTCAGAGGGTCATTTTGATCTGACCACTGCGGTTCATAAAAAGTATTGAGGTTTTCAGTCTTTTTGATGAAAATTGCAAGTATGTTTCCCATGGAAAATGTCTGTATTTTGCCCACACTTAAAAGCTGTAAGAGTTTAAGTGGGAGCTGGATTCAAAATGGTATCATAATGTTCCCTCCTTGGGAGCTGCTGTTCAGATTGCATCAATGCTCTGTGCTGTGGCTCAGGCTCTAGCCTGCCCCTTCCACCCTGCAACAGGACCAGGCACAATCAGGACACCCCTTTGGCTTGGCTGAGCTGAGCAGAAGGCCAGGAGAGGCAGGCTGTTTGGAAAGCCTGACCCGTGGAGGGTAACAAGCTTACAGCTCCCCCAGGCATTTCACAGCATTTTGAGTCTAGATATTTTGCTGCTTAACCAAAGAATTTCTGGAAACATCTAAGATGTTCTGAGTTTTGGTATTTCATTCTCGTCTGAATTTTTCACAAAGAATGAGTCTTAGTTTTCTCAATGACATCAGTAACGACAGACCCTTTCCCAACAGTGATGATCCTTTTGTTCATTTTTGTGTGGATGTGGAGGCAGTGGCAAGTTAAAATTAAACAAACATGAGTGACAAGGAATACAAATGTATGGGGAGAGAGAAAGTGTGATCATGAAAGAAAAGGAAGATGAAGAGGTTGAAAAGCTCTTTTGTGGTTTTTCCCCCCTTAGCAATGTTAGAGATGCTGTTAGCAGAGGAGTGGCGAATAAGCCAAGCACCAATTAATCACAGAGAGAGGGGGTACAGGGCAAGATGCCAAGACATCACTTTGGCAGATTATCCACTGAGCAGCTGTCATTAGGACGAATAAGGTGTGATCTAAGGAAACTATCAATGTTGGCCCAAGCTGCAATAAGGACAGAACTGGCCCTTGACCTGTTCCAGAAACAAGCAGTATAAAGATAAAACAAAATATTCTCCCTTCCTGCTTTGGGGTTAGGCTGAACCAAGGGTTCTTGCTCTGAGAAAACAGACATCCTCTCTCACTGTGCAGTGGTATGAAGTGACTTAAAAGGTGGGTCTTTGTCATCCCTCAGGCCACAATTCAACGATTGATCATACATGTCCTCTGTGCGTCTCCATAGTAGCACATCAGCAAAATCCCCTTGAGTGCTGAAAAAACTTCTTTGCTTAGCAGAGGTTGGCTGTGTCCTGGGTGTAGCAACCATCCTGATCAGTGCAGGAGGAGCTCTGGAGTGGAAAGGTGTCTCATTGCCAAGACATTGTACACTGGGCACCTAGACACCTAAGGAAATGCCCTTGTGCTTTCAGACATTTCAGATTTTAAATAGGTGCATAGAGAGATGAGTGAAGCTCTGGCCATTGGTTAGGGTTCTGGGCTGGATGGAGAGAAGTGTGCAAAAATCACTTCCAGAAATAATAATGTTAGACCTCTCTTAAATAAGAGAGACAATTTTATCGTGGGTGCAACACTCCGTGGTGAAGGATAATCACCTCCTCACCTCAAAAATGTGAAAAAGAGACCAGGCTTAGTGTTGTCACTCTCAAATTTGTGATGTTTGGTTTTGGTTATGGCTACAGGATATACTTCCTGCTTGTGCTTTTGCAGTTGTCCCCAGTAACTCTGCCCATCCCTGTTCCCAGTGCTGCCCTTACAGAGCTGTATGAGGTTGCCAGCAGTGAACTCCAGAGGGCTGCAGTTGGCAACCATTATGCAGGATGTTGGGTCTGAGAGGAAGTACTTATAATAACTGAAATACTCAATAACTGAAGTTAATATTCTAACCTACTTTGGTCCTCTCCAGTTTTCCAGTAAATTGCCCTGCTAACAGGAATGGAGTCCTTTTCACACGGGTATTTCAGGATAATCCTGACCTACGCAAGAATTTTTCTCTGCTATGAATTGAAGGATTTCTCTAAAAAGTGAAAAAAGTAAAAAATGATCTGTGAAAACATATTTGTATAAAAGCTGTACAAGATGTCAGTTTAAATTCCTGTTTAAAACACTAGGTGGCAACAAGAGAAAAGAAATACTCTTGCATGCAGCACTCACACACCTTTTTACACCCAGACTGAGCTATTGTAACCGCCACCACATGCCAAACTCCTGGGACAGAGATAGGAAGGAAAGGGGAAAGGGGAAGAGAACTGCAGAAGAGAAAAACTAATCAGCATCTTTTTCAGGCCAGATGTTCAGTTTGAAGAGCATGAAACTACTAAATTTACAACCAAGGAAATGTCCACTATGTTTTGGACTCAGGTGCTAGAGAAATGTACATATCGAAGTCTCATTTCCAATAGAATGATTACAGTGTGAAAAAAAATATCTGAATCTGGAGGTAAAAACAGATTCAATTGCCCCACCCTTCTTTTTCCTTCTTAATGCTCAGCACCACATCTTTCATTTGGATTTCACTTGGCAAGTTTTGGTATGGGAACGTTATCCTCATATTATAATGAATTTGGCTTTTCCTCAACTGGCGTATGAAAGACAGAGGTCTAAACCATGCAGGAGTCAGAGGAGCAGATAATAGACACTGGTACATTTTGTCCTGACTCAGAACCAGAGTGCATCAATTTTAATAGAGCCTGCCAGAGCCCAGCTGAGAAAGTGCTCGACTGGAAGGCCACTGCAGCGCAAGCCGTCGGTGGTGAGGAGGAACAGGACTGGCACCCAGCAGTGCAACGGTGGGCTGGGAAAAAAGAATCTGATACTGTGGGAAAGAGGGGAAATGGAGGAGGCATCTGTTTTGGTAGGCCAAAGACCTGGATCTGTGTAGTATGAGCCTTTTGAATTCAGATAGTTACTCAGGTGAATCAGTTACCTCCTAGCAGGATGAAAACATCACCGTTTCACTCTGTTCCACACAACTCGTTGATTTCAGTGCAGACTCCATGTGCAAAAAAAGTACAGCCTCTTACCCCCTTTTGTTTTGACAGAAGGAAGTGAAGTAGATGACCCAGCCATGAAATCTCCTCCTTCCACCATCCTGAAGAATTATGTCATTGTTGGTTCCTCCCAAATCTCAGGACAAGCTGCCCTCTTCCATCCCTCTGGCCAGAAGGGTTCAGATCCTCAAGCCAGAGGACAGGTAACAACGCCAACCGGTTCCCCTCACCTGGCTGCCGTCCACCTGCCCTTACCTCCCAGCAGAGTCATTGAAGAACTTCACAGGGCTCTGGCCACCAAACACCGCCAGGACAGGTACCTACAGCCTCTTGGCTATGTGGGTGCACGGGGACGGTCATTCCACTAAACCATTTTTCTTGATAATGTTTCTACCCTGTTATTAGCATTTTATTTACTCCTACAGCTTGGGTTTCTCTTCCTCTTGATGTCATTACTTTTAACATCCACCCATGGTTAAAGCGTTTAATTTGGCAGTTACTTCAAAGTACATTCTTCCTTTCTAAGGAAGCTACTGTAATGTGGAAGTAGGTTTTCAAACAGGTAGACTAATTTGGTGGTCCTTGACCTATTACAAAAGAAAATCTCCCCACAAGATACCAAGATAGAGTAGCTAAGACATATCCCGCTTTAAATATCAGTACTTTACATATGAGAAATGCTACTATTTCAGTGTATGGCTCTTGGCTTATACATAATATCCAATTTTAATGCAAATGCTTGTGGAGGAGTACATTGGGTACTTGGTCTGGTTTTCATTAGAAGTCCTCCTGTGTGTTGGAGGAGGACAGCGATAACCTTCTCAATCACAGAGCTTCAGAGTTCAGTTGGTAACGTTCCTCAATTCTATATCAGCTATTGCCACAGGGAATAGATTCATACAGTATTATTTCCAGGCCCTGTTAAACTTTTGTCATAATCATAAAATAGCAGGAGGGTAATACTGCATGCCATGTATGTTTTACATTAGAAGGACATGCTGTGTGGGTTTTTAAAATCAGTGCAGCGTGGCACGTGGCTATGTATCAAAGAAATATGTGAATCACCACCCTTCCAGAACTTATTTTTATGACAGAGTTAGGAAAGCAGACACACGTTAGCCATTCTCAGCACAGTCTTGGGAATGCCATCCCATGTCGTCCCACGTTGAACTTTCTGCCCCGGCCTTTACAAGCTACAAGACATTCTGCTCATTCTCATGTAACGATAAGTTCCTACTGTGGCAATGAATCAGGCTTTTGTAAAAACTGGGCTGTGCACCTTCCACCCACAGCTTCCATGGAAGAGAAAGCAAAGGCTCTCCAAAAAAAAGAGTGGAGGTGCGTCCGTCCAGAACATCCAGCATCGAGCGCAGCAAGGAGAAGGAGAACGCACTGACCTACAGCAGTGAGTCAGAGAACAAGCGGAATTCGGTCAAAGAGTCGGATGAGAACAAAGAAAACATGATCATGAACTCAGAGCTCAAGGAAGACTCTGTTTTTTATCAGGATGAGGAAGTTTTGAATGACTCCATTATTTCTGGTAAGGAAAGTAACTTACATGACAAAGATATACTATCATAGCCTAATGGAATGTGCTACAGAAGGCAGCACGCAGCAGAAAATATTGAGCAGTAGAAATTCCTTTATTGTCCCATCAACTTTTTCAAGGAATCCTGGTGAAATGCTATAGTTAAATTTGAGTCATAGCGATTGTGATTATGTTTGTCTTGGTAGGAACTGCATATTAAGATGATGTTTGGAGTCAACATATCACTATGCTTTACCCATTCAGTTCCCTTGTACTGCTCTTCAGGAATGGCAGCACTTGAAGGCCCATCTCACTGTCAGTAGGCAAAGCTTCCTGTGTACCTGCTGCCAATGCTGTGGGTGTTTTGGAAGCATCCTGTTTTAGGAATGTTATTCCAGTGTACCAACTGTACAGTGAAAAGTGGAAGAGACCAGTGAATCTAGGAAGGACAAATATCCAGAGAATATATCGTAGAAGAACGGTTCTTCCATTTGGTGCATTTTACCCTTTCCTGAGACATATGTGGAATGCACTGTATAATCCTAAGCAAGATATTGAAGATCATGAGATCTATTATTTGAAATACTAGTTGCAGGTGAAATGAAAAGAAGTCAGACTGAACAGAAAACATCTTCCCTTAATTATATAGTTTAAGAAAATATTATGTGTACATATAAATCTTAGTTCATACAATGGTTTATGTATTGGGCATGATTGGTCATATGTTAGGACTAGGTAGAGGATGCTTACTAAACATTTAGAAAAATAATCTCTGATAGCAGAAAAATTATTAAATACTTTTTAAAAAATCATATGTGAGTACTACAAAGATGTAAAAGCTGGATGGAAAAACTTATAGGACTATATGGTGATTATAATAAGGTGAGACTGATACATTCTGGAGTGTTTTAGTGAATAAGATTAACATCCCAAATTTAAAGTGTCAGAGGCCAGAGCCACATACAGACTTGCTTCCCCAGTTCTTGTAATGGTGTGCTAGTAACAGTAGGGTTTATGTAGACAGCCAGTTAGATGCCTTATCTGAAAGGCTGAAAACTCAAAGATTTGTTAGGAAATTAAGTAGTGTGGTGATTATATACAGACTCGTATTTACCTGCAGATGTACACCAAAGGCAAAGAGAGCAAAGAAAGATGGTTTGTCATTAGATAAAGAGGTCCCAGGTATGAATACAATCCCTTTTTCTATGCAAAACACCAATTTTAATAAAAATATTTTTTTTAGGAATAACTTTCTCTCATTTCTTTGTTTGTAGCTACACAGCTTTCTTCCTAATAATTAATTAGTCTCCTTTTTTAGCATTTGAGTCTCTTCACACCTAAAACTCAGTCTTTGCACTAAGAAGCCTATTCCACACTCCCCTAAAACTTACCCAAGTCATTACAAGACTTGAGGTATATGCGTAAGATTGTTTTATTTCAAATGGCTGAAGATCATTGTGGACTGCCTGTCTTTACAGGTTGTAAACGTGCTTTTACAAGCAGTATAATTTCTCGTACAAGCCTGGTGCTTGCTTCGCCAGTGTTTAAGTTCAGGCACATTTTGGGGACACACCAAAAACCCAGGCCATGCAAAGTTTCAGCTGCTTGTTGTCTAAGGAAGCTGCCATGCCTGGGTACCAGGCAAGCTGGGCAACACAGCCTCTTAAACACAGAAGTCCTGGTCTGGAGCAGTATAACCTCAGCCCCCAAGGAGACAACAGCTTTGGGGATGTGACCACTGCCCATTTACTTGGCACAAGGTGGGGCATAGGCAAGACATTTCTGGTCTTGACACTGGGTGGCACTCCTTGTGCCAACACTCATTCTAACTAGGGTTTTCATTTCAGAGAGAGAGGACAGATGCAGTAGTGACAAGGACAACAACAGAATAATTCCCTGAAAACTCTAGATTCTTTCTAGTTTAAAAAAAAAAAAACAGTCTGGTTTGCAAGACAGGAGGCAAAACTATTAATTAATCCAAAGCTGATTTAAATTGGTGTACTCCCTTAGTACCTCACCAGCTTTTCCATGGCCACTGTGGTGCAGACCAGCAGACGCGTGGCATGGGGAGATCAGTACAGACTCACAGATAACGTTGGAAAAAGTGAGGAACTGTACCTTGGCTTTCCCTGAGCACCCTGTTCAATAAATCATTGGTTGAAACCTCTAAAAAGACAAGGCAAGACAGTAGTCTTGTGCACTTAAAAAAACTAAGCTTAAAAAATAACATAACAGCATATAGCCCCCAACTGATACCTAGTGCAAGCAAGGTCTTTCCATCAGCAAGCAGTGTGAGGATTTGCCTTTTGTGTGACAGAAAGAACAGTCAATGTACAAGAAATTGAATGTCATGATTTAACTGAATTAAAATAGGAACTTTTGTCAGGAACCTGCAGACTAAGCATGAAAAAGGTGTGAATTTTCAAAGCATTTATTGTTGACCCAGCTGAACTGCTGTAAATCATGGAACAAGATCCTGCCTGAGATAGCGTGGTCACGGGGCAGGCTGGCATTGGACATGCCTTACTGACCAGAAAAAATAACCCTGAGGAAGAAATACTTAAATAAGGGTATTTGCAGATTCATTTGCTACTGAGATAGTGATCAGGCTGGAATTTGCCTCGGGGTGCTGAAAATGGATGTGTGGAAAACTAGTTTGCGTTTTATTTCCTCTTTCTTCTCTGGTTTTATTTGTTTATTAATCCTGAAACATCAGATATGGGTTTCTGCAGCAGGTGAAATAACAGAACTGGACATCAGTGGGCTGGCCAAGATGAAACCAGATGAATTACGCACTGTTTCCTAGTATGTCTTCCTGAAGAAGGCAACATCATTTCCCTCTTTTCACTCCTTAGACTAGCAGATCAACTTAATCCAGATCTCTTGCATTTTTATTTGGTGAAATATCCTAAAGATTAATCAGGACCCATTGCATATAGACCATGGGAGTGGCTATAGCATAAGCCTTTTAGAAAAGCAGACATCTGGATGAAGTGAGCACAGCTTATCCTGAGTGGGTTATGTGCTCTCCACTCTGATAATACAACAGCGACATTTGGGATAAAGTTGAGATTTTTCTGATATGATTTATGTTTTTAATTTCACAAAGTAGTAGACTATTTCTAAGTGTGCTGCAGAGCAGCCTAGGAACAGTCAAGGCTATAAAGAGCAGCTTCATTCTACTTTGTTTCAAGAAAAATATTGCATTATTCTGGCTCACTTTGAGATACGAGCCTCAAGGGCATCCCCGGAGCTAGCTAAAGCCAGTGCCTCCACATCAGCTTCAAAACCTGACTTCTTGCTAAAAGGTCCAGTCTTTTAACTGCAGAGCATGGGGTTCAGCTGGCCTTCAGTGAGATGAGGTACAGCAGAAAATGAGTCCTGACCTCATTGGAGCAAATGATCATTATGATTCTAGCCCTTGTCCTCTCACAATTCAAAAGTCAGGTACAGAATGGCATGAGAAGTAGTTTTGTAACTGCCTGAAGGCAGCAGGGATACCCCTGAGCTGTCACCAGTGAATGGGAGAATAACCACTTAGGGTACATCTCCAAAAAAGGTGTTTACTACACCTGTAGAGCTTGCTTGTTTCCTTCTGAGCAGTTCTGGACAAGACACGTGTGTTGTGCACTGGTGTATCCATATCTTGCTTTCACTGTGCACTGAATGCCTGCGAATGCAGATGGTCAGCACGTGGGTGGTGTGTCTGTCCTGTGGGAGACACTGGCCTTAATGTGCACGTGCAGCCTCTCTGCAGCACTCTCCTGACGTGACCAAATCCCTCTTACCGCCTGCCGAAAATTTCCAAGTGCAAATGAGAACACGTTCTGGGATACCTGGGAGTGTGCTAGCCCCAAATGTGCTTCAGATTGTTTCCAGGAGGAATTCTGTTGGTTCCTGTGCTGTGCGTACTGAGCACTGCAAACACTCACTCTGCACCCACTGCTGGTGTGGTGGAAGCTTGACAAACCTTGACAGCATCCCAGGTCTGTGGCTTCATGAGCCAAACATTTCTGATGAAGTCATATTCAGTTAGCAGAAGGCTCTGTGTGGCCTCAGCCAAATCATTTAACTTCCTTACCCATCTGTTAAATGTATATCTGTGACTTCATGGAAGGCGGCGTGGTTTAATTTAATTAATGTTTGCAACAGACTCTGAAAGCATTAGGGGGAAGGTGCTAATCAAGGGCACAGCTTCTAGACTTAAGTGAGGTTTTGAGCCAATTATGGTTTCTAAAAAGTTTAATTTTAGACTGCTGCACTATTAAGAGACCTGTCCCTGCTCAGAGAGTGAGACCATACCTACTCTCTGCCTGTGTTCCCAACACACATGTGTGGATGTGGTATAGATGCCTCCTCCCTACATAAAGAAATTCAAGTTCAATAGTGATAATTATAATTATCACTACAGAACCCTAGCAAATAAAACCCCAATATTTGGGAATGAGAATCTATTTAGGGTTTAGAATCCTGCCAACATCCAGAGTATCCTTTAAAAGTTAGAGTTTAATCCTATCTCAAAAGCCAAACAAAAATATCAATTAAATGTCATTTCTTTAAAAATGAGGTGACCTTTTCTAGAAAAGGTGAAGCATTAATTAAAAAAAAAAAAAACAACTTTAAAGTGAAAAGGAAACCAACCAACATAACCAATAACACAGCATGGTCCCAAGATGAACCAAAGATTTAACTGTAGCTCCTGCATACCCTGACAATACTAAATCCCATCTGACTGGTGCAGCTTTGCAGTGAAAATTTTCAGAAGCCCTGAACTGGACACCAGAAAGGCCAGTACAGCACAGCAGAGGCATGCAGGGATCTGGTGTAAATTTACTTGCTTACTACCTACCTGTGGTGTGATTGCTCAAAGACTGCAGGTCTACCAGTATGACTCGGGAGCTCACTGGTGTTAATACCCCTTTCTTCTCCTTTTCCCACATCATAAGCAAGCTACCCCTCAGCATATAGGGACATCACATCAGAATTTGTCTGCATTTGAAAAAAGGATGGCTTTCTGCTTTACAACTCTTTTACTGCATACCTTTCCAAACACATGGCAAAATGGTTCTATAAGATCAGGAGTCCAATTTTCTTTTGTTTAGCCTGCTGAAGTCGAAAGAGTTACAAAAATGATACAGAAACACCTAAGCTCAAACACAGTTCCCTCTAGTAAGAGTGAAAGGATGTCTCTAACATCAGCAGAGGGCCAGCATCAAGGACTCAACATCCAGCACACGGAAGAGCAGTAGACTCCTGCTCAAAAGAGGTGCTGAATGTTCTCCTATGAACAGTTCTTTTGTGATGGCAGTTTTTTCGGTTGTCTAGTTTGGTGGAGAACGTAAGCTATCATATTTTTACAAGAAGCACAACAGGTCATGTAAGTTATTTAGTTTCACTAAGTATTTGTGTCTCCTGTTGCCCAAATGCCCAATGAAGTTAGCAACATTCTGCAAATCTTTGTGAAACCTGGCCTTTTCTTTCATTCCTTGGATTATTTGCCCCTGCTCTCTTCAGAGGGAAAGGCCTAATGTCAACAGTATAGTATTGATTGTTAAATGAAATTCTGTTGTGATACATGGTCACACTGGACAGGATGTAGACATACACAATGGCTTACATTTAGTGTTAGAGATACACGTGGTGTCTGGTCACTATTCCGACTTCCAAATTTCTAATGCCAGAAAAACAGAATGACTCATATAAATATACGTGTGTGTGCACACATATACACATGTGCCGAGCAACAACTGTGATGTTTCAGTTACTATGATCTATTCCTGACTATACCTGGTGACCCAGAGGAGACAGTGTACATGTCCCAGCCACTCCTGCACTGAGCAATCGAGTCCTTTCCCAAATCAACCACCAAATGGTTTGGGAACCAGGGGTTGCTGTGGGGGCTGGTCAGATGACTCAGGATACACAGTCTTTGAATTCAAAACTAATGATGGGAATCATGTCTCAGCTGCAAGTATTTTACTTGAAAGCATTACTTGCTTATAATGGGTAACAAAGGAATACAATCCTTCTGTGTCTGTAAGCTGCTTTATGTCCCAGCCCTGCACAACTGCAGTGCTACTTATATGAATGTGTACAGCTGCTCATTGCACACTAACACACAGATCACTGTCACTCTGTAGGTTTCCTGCTCTTTTTATGTTCACGTTTCATCCCCAGGAGCTGTATTTCTAATAACTTTCTTTTCATTGCATGTCCCAGGCACTTTGCCAAGAAAATGCAAGAAAGAACTGCTGGCAGTAAAACTACGAAACAGACCGAGCAAGCAGGAGCTGGAAGACAGGAATATTTTCCCAAGGAGGACAGATGAGGAAAGACAGGAAATCCGGCAGCAAATTGAAATGAAACTCTCCAAGTAAGTCTCTCTAAGAACAGGGAGTAACCTCCCTCTACAATGGAGCGTCTTCTGAGTACTGTCAGATGAGAAACTGTCACCCATCCCTAGGTCCACTTCCTGCAGCGAGTCATACACCAACTCATACAGCACAATGACAGCTGTCAATCAGCCAGATGAAAAATGTCTCATCTCTCTCTTCAGTCAGGACTCCCTTTGATTTCAATAGAGAGCAAGTCAGAAGTCAATGTGGGAGACAAAATTCTGCCCGATCTACTTGCAGCTCCACTGATGTAAGCAAGATTTTGAGGTCCTCCAGAAAGGCTAGTGCTTTAACAGAAATAAAAATATCATTGTTTATTAAGCTGATTTTGCTTTGTTAGTACTGGCTGAATCTGAGCACAAAGGCAGTTGTTACAGCTGTGTATTTACCTGAACAAGGGAAATCTGCTGTGTGCATTGGTGGCTGTATTTCTGCTATAAGGAAGAAGTCACTGCAGCAGCATTGCCCTCACAGGGGTGAGGTGTTTGTGTAGCCCCAGCAGCAGGGATGACAGAGATGATCTGGTTTTCATCAGCCACCAGGGCAGCAAGGTAGAGAGAAAGAGCATTACTGCAGCGTGTAACCTAAAGCAAAGATTTAAGGTGACTGAGACTCAGACTGCATGATTTGGGTTTTGTGTGTGGAGGTTGTTTTATTTTTTTTAAAGCTACATTTGGATATCTGCAAACATGAATATTTTAGGTGAGACAAAGTGGATTGTTAAATAATCTGTGCTGTGCCTGCCCACACTGGGACAGTGAGCACTGCTCACCGCCAAAATGTCTGGAATCAAATTGAGAAACATGAATAGAACTTCATTTTCAAGGCTTATTAAATATTAAATATCTTAGGCTTCTCCTGAAAGAAACATTTATTGATATTTAGACTAGCTCATTCATGTGTGTGCATTTGATTAAACTTTCCCTCAGGGGAACAGGGAATGAGAAGCTCGCATATGGATCAGAGCACCAGTCCTAATGGACCAGGGTTTATTGAGGAAAACACTGCTGCCATCACCACACTTGCTCTCAGCTAAGAAATGAGCTGCTGAGCGAACACAGATAAGATTTTGGGTTCACTTCATGATGCCCTTGCAATGTTGGAGATGGAGTAATCATCTTCCCCCAGCCTCAGTGATCTCAGCTGTTTGTTCTTTGTAGCACTTCACACCTGAAGGAGAACTGTGCATTGTGCCAGTGACTGCACTAGACAGAGCAGATGATAGTCCCTGTCCCCAAAAAAAACTGTACATCCCAAACTAGTAGAAAATATCACATTGTAATTTACACTAAGTTCCAAGACTCACAGGCAGAACAAATCATAGATGTGTCATGTTAATACCTGTTGTCTCAGGAAGGAAAGCATCGTGGATCTTGACCATGGCCTTGATCATCTTGACCCTGCAAGCCCTGTGTATTCATTTCAGGGAAATATTTCAAACTCCACTCTTGATATTGTTAATTCAAGTATTTTGGCCAATCAATTGCTCATGAAATGTCTTACTAGGTCAGGAGCCTAATTTTATGGCTCTAAGACACACAAAAAATGGTTTCCACCCCACTGCATCCCTAAACCCAAGTCTGACTATCACTCAATACTGAAACCCAAGTTTAAGTATTCAGTGAGTGAGAAGATTACCTCATATCCAGCCACGCCACATATTGCTGAAATGCCTAGAAGGTCCCATCTCCTTTCAGTAGAGCCTGACTTCCCCTAGGGTGGAAGGTCTAATGGAATTGTAGCGTCGGGTGGTACAGCTACAGGCTTTATCCCCTTCTCTGCATTTACCATTTAACTTAATTAATATTGAGCCTAAAGATTGATTTTAAAGGAGGCATACCTGAAGTCAAGTGTCAGTACAAGGACTTAAAAAGGAAACTGCTGTACAGAAGAAAAAGGCTGGTCATTACTAGAAGCTAGGAAAGGTGCTGTCTATAGGTAAACGCAGTGAAGGAAGCCTCCATACTGTCTGCTGGGCTCTTATGGACCCCAAACTGTGGTGCAGCCATAGTCTCACTGCTAGTGTCTAGAGGATGGCTAAAAGCCATCTTTGTTCCAAGTGCTGAAGGACAGGCTTTCATTTAGCTCCTTCCTCCTGGAACGTGGGAGATTCAGTGCATCTCGGGGAACAGAGGGCGCAGAGATTGCTGGAATAGCCAGGAATGGGAAAACAGATTGGAAGCAATCTCCCACACAACTTCCAGCACATATGTGCACTGGCAGAGCTCAGCTCAGCTCTTAACTCATCTACCAGAATAGAACATGACCGTGCAAACAAGCTCAGGTGGTGAATGCATGAAGGAAAATATTTATATCAGGAAAAGTAAGTATGTGTCACAAAAAGAAAAAAAAAAAAAAAAAAACCAAAACCAAAACCAAAACAAAAAAACCCCTCGATCCCCCCCAAGAAAAAAAAAAAAAAACACAACAAAAGTCAACTGGGTCCTGGTAAAGGCCAAAGACTCAAAGCCCTAAGGATATCCCTCTGGAGTTGAGTTTCTGACTAGGACTGACTAGGTCTCACCCCACAAAACCCAGACCACCTCAGAGTCCTCACTCAGAGCTCAACCCAGCAGTGGTGTGTAAATGTAACTATGCTGGGAAGAGTGAAATTCTTGGATGAGATTTTGAGGTCTTTAAATTCATTCATTCTACTGGTACTTGTGCAGCTTAGTCTTTTTGTGACAACTTGGAAGTTTATCACTAAGGAACGTACTGCCAAGCGTTCAGGTGTGACATACTCACCAAGATCCAATAGAAATGTCTGTTCTCTCTATGATTTTGCCACTACATATGCAGATAAGAGCCCACTGCTGCTGCTGCTGCTGCATGAATAACACTGGTAACAGCAATGGGACTTGCCAGCTCAGTTGTGAATTCACATGTACCCAACACCAGGCTATAGACCTGTACTTTAGCTCAAAAGAATAATCTGCAGGCAGATTAGTGAGTTATTCAATTGCTGCCTGCATAAGAATGGCACATAAACAGGCAGCTGTTTTCAAGATCAATATTTTTAAGCACATTTGTAGGGATTTGAAAGTCTATAGCTGTCTAGCTAATTGCCCCAGTCCCACAGCTAGCACAGCCTAGTGTACTCTGGAGGGAAGGCTCTGCTGATGTATATAATGTGCAAAACATCCCAAATAATAGTGTTTATCTAACTTCAAAAATGGGGAGACAAAAGAATAATATTTTCTCAAAACCACTGTATTTTTTTAAATGGCTCTGGTTGTAATTCCTTTCAACAGTAGTTGTGAACCTGCTGAGAAAACCAGCTCTCTGCTATCATGCTGATGTGTGTTTATGCAGTCAAAGCTAAAATCCCTGTTTTTCTTCACTTCCCTGCTAATATCATCTCAAAACAGAGACTAAGGAATTCTGCTGGGGACCAGATTCTGCTTTTACCGCAGTGCAAGTCCACTGATCTCACATTTATTATTGACAGACAGCAGCACGAGTACAGACTTCAAGACACACATTTATGAGCATTGCTGCTTTTGAAAAGCATGTTTCCCATATTTCCAGCTCCCAGCCAATTTAGCCCACCACTTGTTGCCATGGGAACACGCACTTCTCCCTCGTCCTCCATCCATAATGGCAATATTCCATTATCACCAGATTTCCCTTTCCAGCAGCGTTTCTCTTACAAATTCATGCATCCCCAGCGCCCCAGGCCATGGTGTGTGCTTGCAATATTCTGCTGTGCATTCATCAGCAGGGCTCCCAACAGGTCCTGGCTGCCATTATTGTGTGCTCAGAGTGCAGATAATAAAACCTCGGTGGAATTCAGGGAGTTGGAAGCTCTTTGTGTCACGAGGCAGAGAAGACATTTGCAAGTACGATTATTTGCAATAACTGTTTTCTGCCTTACAGAATCACTTTGTTCTAGAAGGGGTCTGAGCTGAAACCTGTGGGAGTACGATAGCTGCTAGATTGAAGAGTGATGCAGGAAAAGGTTGTTTAATTAAATTTGATATCTGACTGTTTAGAAACTTAGTGTTTGAACTGCCTGGGTGGCTGGTACTTCTCAAGTATGCCTTGCAAAAACCACAGCTAAAGAGGCTCCATTATTACTTAATGTTTCAATGAAAGGATGAATTCCTGGAAAAGATTATACTTTTAATTTTCACTTAATGTTCCATTTCACCTCCTTGGATATTTGCATAAGTAGACATGATGCATTAAGTGGCACTTAAAGGATTATGGGGACAGGAATTCAGATACAGAAATGTGGGCATCAAAGGAGTCAGACAGGAAGAACAATGATTTTGTGGACACAGGGCAGAACTAATACTCAAGAACCTAAAACTGATCTTCACCACACTGAAAATCTTGGCATGGGTGACTGGATCATGCTAGGGCAAGGTTTCTTGGCAATGTAAAATGAAATGGAGGTATCTTTATTCAGTACTTTACCATATCTGGAAATCTGTATCTCTAGTGCTGCCCCAAGGTTCTTGGAAAGGCATTTTTGAGTTGACTTGCCCAGAAACTGCAGACATAGCTAAATGCACACCCACACTAGACCCTGGTTTGTACCTCATCCTCATGTAACAGAGCGTGAAGTTCACAGTGCTGCTGGAGGCAGAACAATGCCAAGCAAAGAACACTTCAGATTTGCAGCCTAAAAGCATAAAGCATGAAAGTTCAACACAGAGCAACCATAAAGGAAAGTTCTACCTATTGACGTAATGGAAGCTGCACCCTGTTTCCCAAGAAGAGCACCACCAGTTCTGCTCCTTCAGAGAAATGTCTCAGTGCAGCTTTGCTCATGGAAAAGGCATTGTCCCTCAGACAGAGAGATTCATGTAAGAAACTGAGCTGAAGCCATAGGACTTTGGGAATGTTCGATTTGGTTTTGACCAAAAAGCAGGGGGATACAAACTACTAGTAGCCCTACTGCAGAAATTAAAGAGATGCTGAATTGAGCTCAGTTTAGAGACTAGCCTAAATTCACCTGGAGATTACCGAGGCTTTAA